AGAATGACTGATGCGATTCTGCATTATTGGAATGACTACACGCATGTGGTGCTCGTGTGTTTGCTACTACTGATATCACTTGCATGAGCTATTGGTTCAATCCGAAAGTTTCTTTCGCTGATAACGTGTTCGTCTCATTAATTGTGTGGATGGGTGTTTTACTGGGAAACATTGTTCCGATAGAGCTGTTAGTTCCTCACCTCTTATATATCAAATTACTGGGTTATCCAAGGTTTGTGGAAGCTGACCAATTAAGGACTGCACTCATAGGCCAAATACTTTTCCAAGACGACATTTCCTATGCGACTTCGGGGATATCAATCACTTTTCTTGATGCCTCAAATTTCATAGTTTTGAAGATTCCAATGGAACTAGCAATTGCATCCAACGAGTCACACTCGGTTTCTTGTCCAGCATTCTTTGGTTTTGGACCTCTAAATTCTCTCATGTTTACTTTGTCAAATGAATCTCAGCAGTTGGAGCACAATATGACAGTTGAGACGTGTGGCACAAATCCACTAGCATTTTTCATTGATTCTATATCAACACTTTCATGGATTATGGCTGCAACAAGGCACTTTCTGATATGGCATCATAGTGTCAGCTTTTCTGTATTCCACCAATGGCCTGCCATCTTCTCCAATTCTTCCAGGTCTTTTGGTTCTTTGGGTATATTGTTTGGCAAAAATTGGCTATATTGCATGCTTGCTGAACTTGTGGTCTATTTGGCGATTCACACTACTCTGGTTTTGGAAGCATCTATCATGCTAATTTTTTTTGGAACTAATTTTAACGAAGGGGTACCAATTAGATTGAGTTTTTTTAGGGGCAATTTGATCCAGGTCCAAAAAATTCACCTGTTTTCTGATTGGGTCCAATTTTATTTGATTTTTTATTACACCTATTTTGCCCCTTGAAAATAAAAAATATTTAAATTCTTTATTTTTGAATTTAAAAAATTTAAAATTTGAATATTCAAATACCTTTATCTACCCATTTTCTAATTAAAAACATTTTAAAAACACATTACAACCAATCTTATAAGTTTATAAAAAAATTAAAAGAAACGTTGTTGAGGTAGATAAAAAATTTGTGATGTAGGTAGATAATATTAATTAATCTATGATATAGGTAGACTATGAATAAAAACCTATCATATAGATAGATAACACGAAATAATATGTGATATAGATAGACTAATGAGCAAAAACATATCGTATAGGTAGATAAAATACAATTAATCTATAACACAAGTAGAATAAACAAAATATACAAATAGATTCATTACAGAAATATATAATACAAGTAGATAAACAAAATATACAACATCTATCTTGTGGTTATGTATTTTGAAGATGGGCTATGGACACGAGTTTTCCTCTACATAATCTTGTGTGATGTTATCGATTTCCACATAACTAGGATCTTCTTTGTTCTGGTTATAGAAAGGGTGAAATTTTTTTTTTTTTTTTTTTTTTGCTCCTTCTAGTTTCTATATGCTAGATCCCAACAGTGTACATTTTATACATCTTGACAACCACTATACTTGAATTTCATAAGGCGAATGAGTTGGTTTAGTATCCTGGATGTTGACTCGAATCCTTGCCTGGTTTGGAATTTGTTCAGCCCGAAGTTACCGGTTGTTTCAGTGTTGACAAGTTTTATTATTTCTGATTTTAGAGTAGTTGAGTCTCTGTTACATTAGGCTTGGCCTTTTCATTCCTTTTGAATTGAGACATTCTTATTGAGCAAGATGTTGGTTTCAATTTCCTTATGCATGTGGGCTGTGGTTGTTTAATTTATCTTGGGAAGAGAACATTTTTCTGGAAATTTTAAAACTTGAAAGAAGAAGACTGAACAAGAAGGAAGGGATTGGAGAACACAGCACAAATTGTATACGAGAGTTATGGAAGAAGAGATATACTTTAAAACTAATTCTAAAAGTAGGGGATTATTTAAAGATAAATAATTAATTTCATAATACAAGTAAATCTAGAATTAAAGGATAATGTTAATAGAGGGGTAATTTTGACAAAAAAATGAAAATAAAATGACGTGGACAATGAGTCACTGGACTTAAATCAATAATTAAATAAAATTGGATTATATCTAGTAATTGCTTACAAATTTGGATTTATTTCAAGTTTTCCCTTTTTTTATAGAGCCCAATTAGATTGGGTTTGCTAACACAAAAGAAAATATTAATTAAATAGTATGGCCCTATTTGGCAGATCAGATAAAGGATCAGATAGGATTAGTTATACGGACTCGGGTGTTTAGCGTTCACTCGTACTAAATAAGCGCTGGATTAATTTAACCGGTCAGCTTATTTAACACGGTATATGCCTGCTTAATAAAACCAACCAAAACGCTCGGATTATTTAGTTGGCTTCACTCTCCTCTCTCGTGAACTCGGCCCTCTCTCTCTCGCCTTCTCTTGGCATCATCGTCCTCCCCATCACCTTCTCTCGCCATCGTCCTCCTCCTCGTCGCCTTCTGTCGGCATCGTCGTCCTTCCCGTCTCCTTCTCTCGCCATCGTCGTCTTCCCTGTCGCCTTCTGTCACGCCATTTTCTCTCGCCATCTCTGCTCTCCTAGTCCTCGTGGCCTTCCTCGTCGTCCTCTCCTTGTGGCCTTCCTCATCACCTACTCATCGTCCTCCCCTACAACTGGGTCTTGCAAAGAAACATGGTGCGGAGGATAGATGATTTCAATTTGGGATTTTTCTGCAACTGGCTATTTGAATTTATTTGGGATTCTTCTGCAGTTGGGGAAGAAGAATATGGGAGAGAAAGGGAGGGAGTTTGGGGGGTGCGGCAAAGAGAGCTGGGGAACAATTATTTGGGATTCTTCTACAGTCGGGGAAGAAGGGAGAGAGAGGGAGGGTGTTTCGGGGGTGCGGAGAGATCTGGGAACAAAAAAATGATTTCACTTTTTTTTTTTTTAATTTATTTTAAGTTTGATTCCTCCTATCTAGTATATATCAAACACACTATAAATAATATGGTCATTTGTCCGATACTGCACCAAACGCCCAACTAATTTAGTCAATACTATCCGGTGGCTATTTATCCTATCCGACAAAAATAGTCAGTACAGTCCGAGCTGCTAAACGAGGCCTTATTGTCAAACGCATGAGAATCTGTTGAATTAATTTTACCATCACACTTATATCTAGGGCTGGGTTCGGTTCGAAACGGTTCGATTTTTTGCTAAAACCGAAATTTCAGTTCGGTTCGGTTCAAATTTTTTTCGGTTGTTTTGGTTTGGTTTTTTTCGGTTCAGTTTCAAATTTTTTTTTTTTTTTTTCAAAAAATGATGTAAATGGAAGGAACCTCCTACCTAATGCCTATCAACATCCCAGTTCTCATATATCAAAGAATTGAGAGCCTCAAAATCCTGAATATATTCAAGTAATTCAACTACTTATGATCAAGCAAATCGAATTCAAATTTTCAAAACTTAAGCAAATATAGAAACATATATTCTTCAATGAAATGTACATCACCAGGATTCAAAATTCTAAAAGTTAAAAATTTGCAAAATCATGAAATAATTCAACAAATTAACTGATCGATGCAGATCGAAACAAAAACAAAGCAAATGGGTTCGTCTAAATGACATAATCAGACCCCAATATCGCACGCCCACATTCAAATTCAAAGTCAAGTTCACAATAGATCTAGAAAATTCCAAAACATATTCAAAGAAAAATACAAACTTTTCCACCTTAAATTACATAAATTTCAAATGGGTAACCATAAAATTTAAAACCCATAAACTAAAAAATAAATAAAACCCAACAAACGGAGATCAGAGATTGACGGCTTCAGTTCAGAGCCACCATGTCGTCTCTTCTTCTCTTGCAGGTGTAAAACTGAAGATGTAGGCGCTGCCAACTAAGACTAACCTCGTCCACCGTCAACTGCCCATCAATCCCATATTGTGCCCCTGGACTGCCCCACTGTCATTGTGGTTTGGCTCTCCTCTTTGCTACCGTTGAAATCCACAGAGCATCTCCACAGGAGAAGACTGGAGAGAAAGAGAGTGATTTGGAGGAATAGAGGAAGAAGAGAGAGAGAGAGAGAGACCGAGGAAGCAAAGTGTTAGGATCCTAGTTATTGGGTTTATATCTTTATGGTACTTTGTCTTATCCTAGTAGTAGTTGGTTTCATCCAACGGTAGTGAGGGTGGAGATGTGTTCCAATCGGGGCACCCCTCCTCTAAGGTTGTATAGAAGCCTCCTTTCACCATTTGGGAAAGGCATGAATGAAAAAAATTGTTATTTTATTTCTTACTTTCCTTGCATTTTCCTCTTCCTCTCCATTCCTACTGAATGGATCCTATCACAAAGGCAGAGAGGAAGCAGCGGAAGGGGAGAGAGAGTGTGTTTGAGAAAAGGTGAAAATTGAAATGTGAGTGAGTGACGGCTAGGGTTTGCAAACTTTAAGAAATTTTATAAAGCATTAAATATTAGAAACCTATAAAGAACTTACTGGTATAATGATATCAACACAAACCCTACAATCAAGTTGGCTTAGAGCAACTATCCCCAACCTGGAGGTCAGGGAACTCTGACGCCGAACATATTTGTTAGGAATTTATATATGGTTTTTTTTTTTCGGTTTGGCAGTTTCAATTCGATTTTTTTCGACTTTGGTTCGGTTTAGCTTTCGGTTTTTTGAACCCACCCCTACTTACATCATTGAAATTTCTTTCCACACGTAAAACGTCACATTTAGACCCTTTTTGTACAACTTCATCCCTTACGTGAGTCGAACTTCGATTTAATTCATTTACCATCAAAAGTGTTACGTTTAGAAAGTACAATACCTTCTCCAAAATCTTCTCCTATCACAAGCGCAAAGGAGCAACGCAAGTCATTACCCTCATTCTTGTACCACTCCAAAAAGTTCCTGCCCTTCTTCGTTCGCAAATTCTTCCTCATGAGTGCCGATAACAATTTTCATAATTTAAGCATACAATTATCAACAAATTCCATTGAGAAAATATCGAGTTCCATCTATATAATCCATGAGTTATCATTAGAACCCTACAATGCAATTATAAGTATCGTTATATATAACTCTATCATCAGAAGAACAAAAAACTGTTTGTAATATTATTATAACAAGGCACATTACCAAGAACCAACCATCCCCTTCTTTGCCTGTCGACTGCTGTGCACTTCAGCTTCATCGGCCTCTAGCTCGTTTAGCTGGACCAGCCATTGTTGCTGCCGCCCTCTTTGAGGGCCGTCCCACATTCCTTTTCGATGGGCTGTCCTGCTCTTTCGCTGCCTGTCTACCACCAGAACCTCTGCGCGAACCTTGATCTTTCTGCGTGTTTCCTTTGCCATTTCCATTTTTCCTCTGCTCTGCTCTGCCTCCTTTGCTGTTATTCTCAGGGGTCTTTGATGCCTCTAGCAATGATACGGTTTTGGATGAGGAGCTCTTGATTCTACTCAAGAAATTTGCGGCACTTTGCTTTTTCCCACCTGCATTATTGTTGCTCTTCTTTTCCGTCTCAGCTTTGGATTCTGAATTCTCATTGCTAGATAACACTCTGCTCTTCTTTTCCATCTCAGCTTTGGACTCCGAATTCTCATTGACATCTGAGTTTCTTTCGTTGTTAGTATTACTACGGGTCCTGACATTTTTGGTCATGTTGTTTCTTGTACTGCTCCTACGTCTTTCCTTTCTTCTTCTCTTGGTGACATGGAGTTTCTCAATTTCATCCGAGGACTCCTCTTTTTGTTTCCAATTTATAGCTGGTTTGACATCACGGAATGTAGAGGCCTGCTCTTTTCTTCTTTCTGGTCCTGAAGAAGATGTGGACGCTCTTGCCGTTATGGAGCTGCGTTTGCGACAAGCATTGAGTGGAAGTGATAGTTTTGATTTTGCGAGCAATGAATCCGACGTTTCAGGTTCAGGATTCACAGGGGGAGCTGGTTGTGTCGGAGTTTCTTCTTTAGGTGGCGGTTCTTGCTTAGGAGGCAAACAAGCCATTTCCTTTGACACAAGTGACCGAAGCTCACATGCAGCCTTGTATTCTGGAGACTTTTTCCCAAAGAAGACTATGGCATTGTTGCAAATAAGCAACATATCTCGAAAAAATAAGCTTCTGCTGCACCGTGAGTACCAACCTCCTTCAAGTCTGGTTTGCACCATTTCAAAATCTACATGCTGCCGAATCATTTTTGTATAATCCTGCAATTTGAGAACCATAAGCGATATTGTTAACTCTTAATTTCCAATAATGTCAAATCATTTAAGATTACTAAATGGACGACGTCACTGCAATTGTTCTGCAGCTTTCAAGTTGAAAGCGCCACAATTTTGCCCACAAAAACATAAAGAATGTATACAATTTTGGCAAAACAAATTTTAACCCAACAAAGCAACTATATCTCAAGAGACACATCTAGTTTGAATCTCCTCCCCGTCAATTAGACTAGTTTAAAATATCATCTTGTAACTTATCTCATCGGTTCAGACAAATCCACTTCACCATTTTTCAATAATCCTCTTTACAAGAGATGGTTTTTTAACTGCACGGAGTAGAATTTGAATTCAAGTGCACATCCATTATGGGCATCCTGACTATAGGCTGGTTTAATATTGTTGTGCTTTGAAAAAAAAAACTGTTTCTGCTGTGCTGTGAGAATAAGCAGCTGTGAAATAAAGCAACAGAGTGTTTAATAAACTTTTTTGTAAAAGTGCTTTTGAAAAAAAAAAGTAGTATTATAGTGTTTGGTAAACTTTTATGTAAAACAGATGTGAAAAAAAATCAGTTTTTCAAAGCTGGGTTTTGCAGCTTCTTGTTTTTTGCTTTTTTTCATCCAAAATTGTGAAAAAAAACTGAAACTGAATGTTTATCAAACACAAAAACAGCTCCCAATCAGAATCACCTCAGTATCAAATCAAGCTTATATCTAGCCTAAATATAGTTGTATTTATCTTTACTTTGTTGAAAAATGTTCGAAGTTCTAATCATCCACATATTAAGGAAAATGAAAAGTGTGCACACCATGACATGGTGTGGTACACCTATATTGCACTATAGTTTTGTCCTATGGGTCCCCTACCAACTATTCTAGCTACCATCTTCTTTTTTGTGCAAAATAAGAGTCTAAAGATAGACCCAAAAAACAGTCAAAAGTTGAAATCTAAGGGCAAGACCTGACATTAAAAAAAAAAAAAAAAAAAAAAAAAAAAAAAACTAACAAAAAGTTCAAAAAAGTTTTAGTTTTAATAAAAAATGACAAATAAAGGTGTAATGAATAGTATCAGAAAAAAGATAAAAATGTGGTTTTTCGTTAAAAATGAACAATACCGAAAGTGTTTCGACAAAACTCCAAAAAAAATAACATTTTGTGCTATTATAACATATAGTATTCTAAACTACACCAACTAAACATGAAAGGATTTGAACCCGATATATAGAGAGCTTAAAAAGAGACCGCAACCCAGGAATGCGGTAGACATAATCAGGAATTTGAACAAAGGTAGTGCTATCCATCGAATATGGTAAATAAGATCAATAACCACAAATTAATAAGAGTGAAAAACACTCCTCTAAGACCATCTCCAATCTTTGGAGATAAAACTTTAAAATTTAAGCTAAACTTTTTTTAGCCATAATCCAAAAACTACTTTTCTCCTCCAACCTTTATTGCTTAAAATTTTAGTCCGACATTATTAAATAATAATTTTAACCTTCTTTTTTTTTCGGTAACTTTTTTAAAAATAAAATTTATGTAGAACATCCTACTTTATTTTTATGCACATTTTAATCTAAAAATATTTAAATTCTAATAAGTATTTAAAAATCATACAAATACATAGATGTTTATAAAGTTTTAAGTTAAATTTGATTTAAATAATTTTCTTAAAATATTTTGAACGTTAAATTTAATTTTGAATCGTAAAATCTTTTTTTTATCATTAGATTTAATCTTATTTGATCAAAATCGTTGTATTATAAGTAAAAAAAAAAAAAAAAATTAAAATATAACAATTTGGTGAGTCCAAAATAATTTAAGTCCGACTTAAATCTTTGAACAAATTTAGTCCAGAAATATATTTTCTTTCTCAGGATTTATTTTTGCCCAGGGTTTTAAAAGTTTATATTTTAAATTTTATCCCTCGAAGATGATTTAAATAAATAGAAAGTTGAACTGGACACAACACGGCACGAGGTGGGTCCCTTTTAGTCCTCTTAATCTGCACCATCAGGTAGAATATAAAAACACAAAATATGGAGAAAAAAAAAAAACAAGACAACGTCGCAGCCTTTCAAACAACGGTGACGTGTCGCCACCTTATTGGATAGGGACGTCTGACATAAATACGTCGTCGTTAGGTTTTTATAGATTTAAAAAAAAAAAATAATTTCCTTTTCAAAGGAAAAATAAGCAAACCTGGGAATGGAGCCGGCGCTCGAAAAAGGAGGCAAACTTAAGAGAGCGAAGGATCTCGAGGAAATCAACCAACGGCTGAGATTCAACTGGGACCCCCTTCATGGCGGGAGACTGGTCCTCCTGGTCCGGCTCACCATGGTCCTCCGGTCCGACCGGTTCAGGTTCCTCACCTGCTTTTCTCGACAAACTCGCCGAGCTCTGCACGTCACTGCTACTCTGACGACTCTCCTTCGTCCCTTCCTCCCCTCCCTTTGACTCGGCCACCGATTCCCTCAACTCCCGCGAGTTACCCTTCTCCGACTCCATAACCGCCGGTTCCTTTGCCACCGAATCGGAACTTCCGTTGCACGAATCCTCCACCGCCGGATTACTCGACTTATCGGCCGTCCCGATCTCCTCACCGGCTGCTTCACCCGGTTCATCAGGCTCCGAACCATTACCCGTATCGGCATCTCCGGTTCCGGGTTCCTCGGGTTTCGGATCTGTCGTTTTCGATTCGTCAAACGACCGTCCGTCGCGCACGGAGATATCTTTCTTCTCCGGCGAGACGTCAGCCGGTTTGATCTCTACCTCTTGGGTCTTCTCAAGATCCGATTTTTCAACCGGTTTTTCTGTCTCCCTCAGACTCTGTTCGCGCACTTCTTTTAACCTCTCCACCTTCGATTGCAGAGACCTACACGATTAATTTTAATCACCAAAAAAAAAAAAAACTATTAACTCCGATGGATAATTAAAAAATAATAATCAAACGCCGTCGTTACGGTTTGAGATTTTTACACGATGGAGCGGTCGTAGCGTTGGAGTTCAAGCCGGAGTTCGTCGAGCCGCCGCTGCCGCAACTGGTCGAGCCAAAGGATGGGGGATTTATCATCGTCGCTGGCGGCGGAGACGGCGTCGTTGAAGCGGCGGCGGAGGTCGTGGAACTTGCGCTTGCAGGCGTGCGGGGTGAGGAGGTGGAGGTTGGAACTGCGCTTGCGGAGTTCGGTGGCGACGGAGTCCCAGCTCTGGGTGCCGAAGCGGTGGACGGCGCAGGCGAGGAGGAGCTCCTCCCAGGTCCCCCATGTTGGTGTTTGTTTCTCGGAAAAATTAGCGGGCTTATCCATAAGGAAAATCATTCACCGAGTCAGTCCATCGTCTCTAATAAGTTTGGGTTCTTCTGGTTTGGCCTCTGCAATTCCATTGAGAAATATGTTTGATTTAATTCCCTTTTTAGGGCTTTTTGTTTGTTTGTTTGTTTATTTGGTTGCGTTGTGATATAGGCACTTATGTCGAGCATGTCATACGCTTCCTACCGTACTGGCTTAGCTTTTGTCGGCCAAATTTATTATTTTATTTCCTAATTTTGTAGTATTTAAGTAAATTTACCTTTTCGAATTTTGAAAAAAAAAAATGAAAACTGTTTTTGGTGCTTTAAAATTTATATTCTACACTTCTTATAAATGTATATTTTTTTTTATTAAAGAATGTTTAGAGTGCAAATTGAAATTGAGATTTGTAGTGCTAATAATAATTCTTAAAAAAATTATCAAGTTTAAAATTTGCACAAATAACGCTTTTTGCAAGTATCGTTACCATATAAATTAGAATAATACTATTTACACACACTTTTACTTTTTACTTAGTGTTATTAACTTTGAGTATCGATTTTTTTCAATTCATTCGATTTAACAGTAAAAATTGAAAGGATTGTGTAAGAAGTAAAAATAAGTGTGTAAATAGTACTACTCTATCAATTATAGGATTAACTACCTAAAAAACTCAATATTTTAGTATCACTTCAACTGTTTGAGGATAAAAGAAATTTAATTAAGGGAGAAGTCTCGGAAACACCCAAGTCTTCTAGGGTCATACAACAGGACATTTCTAGCTTACTTAGACTCAAATAATAATAAAAATAACTTCAAAAATGACATGAATGAAAAAATAAATAACAAATAACAAATTTACAAAAAAAATATAAAAAATGAAAAACAAAAATGAAGATCGGGAAATATTAAGTCCTCGCCACCTCCAAGCTCCACCTGTGGCCATCAAAACTCCATCCCAACCTTTATACTAGTCTTGAAAGCTTTGACTGGCCTACTTGGTGGTTGGAAATATTAAGTCCTAGGTGAGTTAAATATGATAAGGGAATAAGGGAGGAAGACTCAGAAAGAAGGGGAGAAAGAACTTAGGCTGATATTGATGTATCACCTTCATAATCTTGATATTAAAGGAGAAACCTACAAGATTGAATCTGGTCTATTTCCAATACTTTAGACCTGTTGTAAGTCCTGGGTTAGTAAGTGCACCTGCCACTAGATTTATTTGTTTGGTAACATGTTGAAGCTCTATGTGATCCGTGTGGGTGATGATGTGAAGTGGATACCCTTCTTGACCACTCCCACCCGCTACAACATATTTGTTTTTCTTTGGTTTGGAGTGACCTTGAGTTGTAGGGTGCAGTTGGTGATTGTGTATTGGGTTTGACGGTGATAGCTTGTGACTATTAGTTGGTGGAGGCCATATTTCCATGACCATCTATTGATTTTGGAGACAAAGTAAGCCCTAATTTAACAAAAATTTAACTAGGGCTTAACGGATATGACATTTTCAATAGGTTGGATACTTATTTGGAATGTTAAAAAGGTAATGATTCGGAGTTTTAGGTTCTTAATCCTAATTTATATGATTAGATTTGTTTAATTTCTTAAATCTTATTTAAAAATCATCTCTACAAAAAATTATTGGATTCAGAATCCTTTATGCTTTCAAAAGTATGAAACAAATCCACATTATAATTCATGATAAATCGTCTATTTAGTTACATTTCAGGGATCTTCAAATAAAAATTAAAAAGTGAATGATTCCGATTTTAGAATTTATACTGTAAAAACATGTTATGCACAAGAGGTGAAATATGTCTTTTCCTTCAATAGGGATGCAAGTAATATATTTAGTTTTTTCTTTTAAATGTGAAAATAACGTCTTGCAGAATTGTATTATGACATTTTCCGTCCCTTTTGTGCTTGGTAAGGAGGCTTTATTCATACGACTATGTTCTTTTTATTACAAGTGATAATTTACATCAATCTACACTAAGAGAAATATAAAGTATGTGAACCTGGAATACAGTATATTGAAGAGGAAGCAATCAAATCTATGCACTCTGGTTTCGATCATCAGCGATCCTTCTCTTTCCTAACAACTAATTTAACTCGTGAATGCTATATCGTTTGTTAAAAAAGGAAAAGATAAAAGATAATTCATTACTTACCGTACAGCTAGAATTATGAATCCCAAGTTGTCATATTGAGTATACCCGCATAAGTTGAATGAGCTCAAAACACATGGAAAATGGAACTGTACGTTTTTAGCACTTACACAACTTTTGTACGACAGTTATGATTATTATATAGAATTTGTGACATGACAGATATGTTGAAACTAGAAGCACGATTGCATGATTAACCAAAATATCACTGTTTTAATAGAAAAATTCATCGGTATCCGTATCCCCAACCTATTATTCAGCAATTTACAAAACCAAAATATCTAACAATATCGATCAAAAATCCAAATTACCAAAATCAATAAACAATCCATTGATTCTATTCGCTCCATAGCTCACTACCAGACTAGTACGATTTCGAATTTTCCACAAATTCAGCCGCCGGCACGGCGGAGCCACCCATCAGTGACCGATTGCCTTCTTCAGTTCCTCCGCCACATCGCCCTCCGGCGACTTCTTATTCCCGTTCGACCGCCAATCCACTTTCCCGCTCGAATTTCTACTTACCCCATTTGTCTCAGCAATCGACTTCGCGGTGTCGGCGATTTCGTGGCGCAGATCCTCCACGGCTTTCCTCAGCAACCCGTTCTCCGTCCGCAAAGCCTCCTGCTGATGCTTCACCCTAAAACAAGCCTCCGCCACCTCACCATTTCCCGGAAATGTAACCCCCTTATCCTCCGCCGCTGCCTTTGTGGCTTTGCCATTCGATTCCCAGCCGTCCACGTGTTCGATCCCAATCTTGTTCATCACCAAGAATGGGATTTTCTGAAAAGCAATCCCCGCCGTTGGATTCGCCCCAGATCTCTTCACCTCCGCGGGAACCCGAACCCCCCACCTCAAACTCACCACGGCCCGGTTCCTCACCGGCATCGACGTCCTCGCCGCCACCTCCATCCCGGAGAACACACCCGTGAGAACTCCATCCGCCGGATTCTCCGATGGCAAAACCGTGATTTTCTTTCCCGAAAACTCCGCCTCCACCACTGGCGTCTCCACCACAGCGGCGTCGTTTTGAGAACCGACGATCTTCTCGAAGACCGATGACTGCGACTTCTTGATCGAGAAGTCGCCGAACTGTGGCTTGAAATGGAGCATGAAGCTAGGGTTTCTCCCGCGGCCGAGGAGATTGAACTCGGCGCTCATCAGCATGGAGCTAGAAATCGGCGATCCGAAGGATCCCGTCCCGGTCTTAACGACGAGGGAGAAAGGGTTCCACGCGTCGTTGGGACGATACGCGATCTTGACGGACGGCCCCGATTCGAAGAAGGTGCCGAGGTTGAGAGTGAGCTCCTTGGACTCGCCCGCGACGATGCCGGACTGGAAGGGGAGGCCCAGGATGCTGAGTGGGACCTTGGCCCGCATCAATGGCTTCTGGTCCTCACGGAATTTGACCGACGCTTTCATTGTTTTGTTGTTGCAGAAAAGCCTAATTCGGAATTTTGGAGGAAAAGGGGGTAAAATTTATAACCGATTTGATGTTGGGTTGTCACACTGAATTTGGCAGTGAATTGAGTTTTTGGCTTTGATTTGGAGATTCATGTGGGAGTTGTCATCTGGGCGGGTCCGTCAGGATTTAGCCCTGGAGTTGGGGTAATTTACGAAAATGGGGCTTCTGTTTTTTGTTGTCTGAGATGGTGTTTACAAATGGTAGGGGTATATGAACGAGAATCTTTGAATTGTATTCGGTTATTGTACATTAAACATTTAGTTTTTTTTCAGGTACTGTTCATGTTTAATTTTAAATACGAGTATTTAAAATGATTTTTGATCACATGATGTATGATGAACGGACACGATTTGAAAATCCTCACAAAGAAGATTCGGATATAGTGCATGTTGGTCGAGGAGGGGATCGGTTTGGTGACACGTGGCACGAAGTTTAAATTTTTAAATTTTTTGGAAGAAGTGAAATTTAAATTTTGAAATTTTAAATATTTTGGAAATAATTGAGTTGAGTTGGTGGTAGTAATGTTTAGGCGCGGATTTGGTTGCTGAATGCTCATTGCTAGAGTGCTCCAAATGACGAGCATTTTTCTCATCTTCGAAAATGAAGGTGATGTTCACTTTTCTATCGATTGTGGTTAGATTAAGATGAAATTTCAAAATTTATGTCTTCAATCAATTAAATCAAAATAATTTAATGGAAAAATAGCACTCTTTAGCAAAAACTAATTGCAAAACCAGAAGGAAAAATTCACAAGTGATTGGATTTGGATTGGGAAAGGACCGAGAAATTGAAATCGTGTATTCTCATCTCAACCCAATTAGGTCCCATTAATGATAGAGCGGAAATACAAAGAAAAACGATAGATAAATAAGAGATAGAAGAGTAGGAAGATGGGAGAGATGTAAAAAGAAATGTATAGAAAAACACAAAACGAAAAGCCATAAACTATGTGTCTTGGCAAAGGTCATCATGTCGCGCTTTTGGACATCACAACCCACTAGATGACACTTGATGACCTATGTCAAGGCACATAACAAGGAAGGAATCACAACTAGAGGTTTTGTTAACTGTATTCTCAAACAGCTGGAGAAACGAAGTAGAAGTGGAAGCAGCTCAGTCTCTTGGAAGGGCAGTCTCAATTGTTTTCCAGAAACCTGCCCCGATGCTGCACTAGGTAATAACAGCTATCCATTTTTTTCTGTTTCATACATTCCTTCTGTTTCGAATTCTTTGCATGGTTATAGGGTTTCTTACTTGGTTATTACATGGTTTTGTCTTTGTTATTTCAGCGCCAAGGAATGCTCCTTCTGCCAAAAAAAATTGCTTCCGGGGAGGCTACTTACGGACACTTGGTCTTCCGATTTGATTTCAAGGACTGGAAGGTAGTTAAAGTTCCAGAA